CACACACACACACACACACACACACACACACACACACACACAAATAGAAAAAATGGAAAAAACAGAAAACAGAAAAGAGATCGCTCCGTGTGGCCATGTGGCGAGTCTTCTTTCTTCTTATTCGTTTTGTTTTCATAAACGACGACATTTGAGATATCATCATTGAGCTGGCCGCCCCCAAGTCATTCATAACTATTTATTCTGTACATCTGGATGAACTTCGGTCTGTACTTCAACAGTTCGAGGTTGTACCAACTGACCTAGGCCCGTTGGTTGCAGTGCACCTTGAACCCCCTCCCCACACGGCATCTCCCCCCCTCCTCTCTCTCTCTCACCCACCCACCCACACACACACACACACACACACACACATACAATAACACAAAAACACACACACACACACACGGAAAAAAAAACAAAAAAAAAAAACGAAAGAAAAAGAAAAAGAAAGTGGAATAGGAACCGAATTGATGCTCCCCAGAATGGATATGGCGCCAGGGCCCAGGGCCATAAGGACCTGTTTTTCAAAACAAAAAAAAGCAACGAAAACATCGCCCCATGTTCCACAGTTGCGTGCCCCCTAACCCTCCACCCTTCCCCGTTCCCTGTTCCCTCGTCTCTCTCTCTCTCTCTCTCTCTCACACACACACACACACACACACACACACACACACACACACGAACACGCGAGCGCGCGCGCACACACAAACACACAAAAGACAAATGAACAGAAAAGGAAGAAAACAAACAAAAGAGATCGTGCCACGTGGCACAACCACGTGCGGCAAATCCTGTAAGCACCTGACCCCCCCTTCCCCAAACCCTCACTCCTTCCCAGTCCCCCGAGCTCTGTCTCTCACACACACACAAAAAAAAAGACGAAAAAAAGAAGAAAGAAAACAATTGGAACTGCGCCACGTGGCGCATCCACGTTGTGATATCTCGCGCTTTAGCTCCCCCCCCCTCACACACACACACACACACACACACACACACACACACACACACACACACACACACGCACACACACACACACAAAAGACAAACGAACAGAAAAGGAAGAAAACAAACAAAAGAAATCGCGCCACGTGGCACAACCACGTGCAGCAAATCCTGTAAGCACCCGACCCCCCCTTCCCCAAAGCCTCACTCCTTCCCAGTCCCCCGAGCGCTGTCTCTCACACACAAACACACAAAAAAAAGACGGAAAAAAGAAGAAAGAAAACAATTGGAATCGCGCCACGTGGCACAGCCACGTTGTGATATCTCGCGCTTTAGCTCTCCCCCCCCCGTCCTTGGACACACTCTGACTTCCTCCGAAACCTCTCCCCTTCCCCCTTCCAGCCCCCCACTCACTCTCTCACAGATGAAGAAAAAGAAAATCGAAAAGAAAAAGACGATCGAGCCATGTGGCTGCACCACGTGCAGTGCCTTTTAACCCCCTCCCCACGTGGTTGCAGCTTGTGTTTTTTTACCCACTCCATTCGCTCAATTGGTGCACCCATCCTCCTTTCCCCGAATCCCGTCTCCCACGATGGCTGCACTTGTCCTCCGCCCCGATCTCAAACCCCCAACAACTGCCGCACCCATCTTGCTTTTCCCTAGTCCTTACTCCCCCGCGTCCTCCCCTCTGTCCCCTTTGCATGCCGATCCAGAGACGATTTTCGCCCCGGTCATCATGTAACCCAATCCCATCATCATGTCCGCTAGTTTCCCTCTCCACTTCTTCCTGACGTTGCCCTGCCTGTGCTCCTTTCGCCGATCAGGGGAGACGCTGTCTCTTATACACATCTAGATGTGTATAAGAGACAGCACACACACACACACACACACACACACACACACACACACACACACACACACACACACACACACCCCTGTCTCTCTCTCTCTCTCTCTCTCTCTCTCTCTCTCTCTCTCTCTCTCTCTCTCTCTCTCTCTCTCTCTCACGCGCGCGCGCGCACGTTCGTGCATGCCTGTGCTGTCATGTTTGTTATGGACAACTCCACAAAAGGGAGCATGGCCGTGCCAGACTGTTTCATCGGATTTTCACCGACTCATCAGGAGCTGTCTCTTATACACATCTAGATGTGTATAAGAGACAGGCGCAACTTGTGTTCCTTTACTCACTCCGTTCCTCAACTGGTGCAGTCATCCTCCTTTCCCGTCTCAATATTCTGATGTCGTTATTATCTTACCCCGTCCTTGTAAATCATGCTCATGCTCCTTATCTTCCTCGTCCTCTTCATCAATCAGCGTGGTCATAGAGGGGTGCTCTCTCTCTCTCTCTCTCTCTCTCTCTCTCTCTCTCTCTCTCTCTCTCTCTCTCTCTCTCTCTCTCTCTCTCTCTCTCTCTCTCTCACGCGCGCGCGCGCACGTTCGTGCATGCCTGTGCTGTCATGTTTGTTATGGACAACTCCACAAAAGGGAGCATGGCCGTGCCAGACTGTTTCATCCGATTTTCACCGACTAATCAGGAGGTTGAACCCCTACAGTCTGCCCGAGATGCATTTGCGTGCGTGTGTGTGATGTCGCGTTCGATAAGTTTCACAGAATCTTCGTCAAAACCATCAGTACATAAGACTCCCTTTCGCCCTAGTGAAATAATTGACCCATCATCTAACCACCAGATAGCTAATGACAATGGTGTAAGATGATTCAACCATCGACGTCGAATAAAGTCTATATGGATTAATATCATACATAATGAAATTAGCAACGAAGAGTAGACATAGAGAATTACCATCAGATAATAATAGAATAGATCCATCCTAGACTTACACATTTGAGAGAGAGAGCGCACCAAGCCCGTAGCACCCAGCACGTGACACCGAGCACCAAGCACGTAGCACCAAGCACCGAGCACGTTGCCCCGACCACGAAGCACCAACCATGATGCACACCAACCACCAAGCTCCGACCACGACACGATGCACCAAAGCAGGAGAGAGAGTAGGCGGGAGTATGCACCGGAGTAAGCGCATTGAGCAGCCGCGAGTGTAGGCGCATCAAGTAGGCGCAGGTGTAGGAGCGTCGAGAAGCCCCGTGCGTCGAGCAGGCGTGGGAATAGAGCGGGCACCCACAAAAAAGAGTGAAAATGTGGGCCGCTTGGGCGTTTTGAGGGCTGGACGGCCCTACCTGTTGTCCAAAGATCGCACGGCGACCCAGGCCATTTCCGGCCCGACGGCCCTGATTGCCCCGCGATCTTAAAATCTTAAGATCGCGGGGCAATCCGGGCCGTCAGGCCGGTAGGTCCATGGACGGCCCGGATGCCAAAATTCTCACATTAACGATTTTAACAAGTGTAGGGATGTGTGGGTACTCAGACAGTTGCAGCACGCCAGTTGTTTACAGAGAAAACGTGAGCCTTCTGGCTCTTTCCAGAAACAAGGGCTGCGCTGTACAGTTGAGTCCAGAGCCCAGGTGGTTGAGCCCTGGGCACACGCAGTGTCAGGCCGACATATCACACAGAGGTCGCGGACGAATGAGAAAGCAAATAAGACGTGTGAAAACACTGTGAATTCGGTTTTTTTTTTCATTTTTTTTAATTCGTTTTTTTCTAATTTTTTAATTTTGCAAGGAAAATAAGCAACAGCGAGATGACAAATTCCAGATTACATCATCACATTGAAAGCCAGATAGTCACACTGTGTCCAGAGAGCAGCATTGCACCAATAATACACCAATGGAGGTTCGTAGTACTGAAAACCAATGTCAAGGAGAGCTTCTCTCTCCGCCACGAGTCCAGTCCCTTCACACTCCTACTTGGCGCTCAGCGCCCAGCCTACTCCTACACAGCTACGATCAGCCTACTAGTAGACAATGCAACTGTTGACATCAGCGGCAACCCGAAGTACTTGAAGATGTCGCCCTTATGCAGACCATCGCCAATACAAGGTATGTGCCCTCACATCATCATCATCATCATCGTTCGCCCTTCCCTGGCTTTACACCCACGCATGTCCTCTCTTACACCCGAAGACCACCCCTGCGCCTCACTGTACATCCAAGCCCAGCCCATTATGAAGGCTGGCTATGGCGCTGCCCTCAGCAGCACCCTGCTTCAACATCTGGCGGCAGCGCTGCTGGAGCGATAGCTCGCGGACTGGCTGCAACTTGTTGGTCAATCACATAGATCGGTTGGGGTCAGTTCCAAGGGTGAATCAGTTTCTTTAACTTTATTAAACTTTATTTTCTTTGTTGCCATGCTTCGAATCTTCATCTCCTTTCTCTCTTTTGGGGTCAGTTCCAAGGGTGAATCAGTTCATTTAACTTTACTGAACTTTATTAAAGTTTATTTTATTCGTTGCCATGCTTCAAATCTTTGTCTCCTTTCTCTCTTCTGAGAATACTGCTGGCCCGTGCTGGGCCATAGTCATTTCATAACATAACTTACGCACCCAGTGCCTCCGACCTCCTTTTTCCTGATGTGAGATCTTGCCCACCCCTATCTAGACTACTGACCCGCCGTCGCTAAGGGCCTACCAGAGGCAGTTAGCCATTCCATGGGCAAGGCGACCCATCTGCTGCGGCCTACATAGCAGCTGGGGCCTGCCTAGCAATAGCAATTGCAAACAAGGGGCGCAGCACTGCACAATAACTGACTGGGGTGAGAGTACTGCTGGTTTGACTTGGGGTGCTCTGTTTAGTAAACTGTCCCTTTTTTATTCGTTCCACGTTCTAACTTTGAAACAGAAAGAAGCAACAGACTGGCAAGACGCAAGCACAATCGCAAATGCATATTTGTCCAAAGCGTTGCACCCACAGTACATCGCATCAAACAAAAAACCTGACAAAGTATCACCAAATGAATCACAAAGAAAAACACAGTTGGAAACAGAAAAGAAGTGCACAAATGCGAATGACACAAGACGGGTATTGGGGTTTTTCAAGTACTGACAAGATCAAGGCCCTTCTTAATTGCTGCTTCCAGAGGCCTGGGTACTCTCTGAAGGATGACCTGTGCCACAGAAAAGAAGGGCACAAATGCAAACGGCACATGCCAAAGGTGTGTGGGTCAGAAATTGTCTCTTAGGAGTTGCACTGTAGTATTATAAATTATTAAGTTATCATCAATTCAGAACAATCATCACCAATGCCAGGAGTGGCAAGCGCGGGAAGCAGATTACAGATTACAGTGCCTACCTTCTTCACCCGAACAGAACGCCCAGTCATTTTTACAGCTGTATTTGGGGCAACTTTCAATCCAGATGAAGCCATAATGACCGGACGTTCTATTCGGGTGAAGACGGTAGTATTTAAAATCAGAGAACAATTTAAATATTTTTAATCAACAGTAAAGACGACATATTAATCACGTTACTATCGGGAACGGCAAGAACACAAATGAATTAACAAACAAACAAAAAAAAACACAATGGAATGAAGGGAAAATGACGGCACCGCAGATTAACATTTCAAATGATAGAATCACCACCGCCCTTTTGCATGACCCCTACCGGCGTAACATTGGTATCAAGTAACTATGTCCTCACAATGAGAGGTACGTACTATGAACCCTGGAGGTGTGCACATTGTTATTACCCAGAAACCGGGGTGGGTCGTGGGGACCTTGTTGGCATAAAAATAGATGCGATACATATGGTTGAATTTTGGTGGGGGGGGGCAAAAAAGCACACAGCATCTCGGCGAACCCTGCATTTGGTTCTGACTTTGAAAATTTGGAAAGCTTGGAGGAACAAAGATCATTCCAACTTCGAAAAGTTGTCACAAAAAAAGTTCAAACTTGGTAACGAAAAAAGTGACTGTAACTTCAACGAATTTGGTCACGAAGAAAGAAACATTTGGAAGTTTGAAAGTTAGAATTTACTAGAAGGTAGTAGAAACCATTCAGATTTCGAAAATTTTGGTTACATCAGCAGTACTTGGCCTCAAATTTTGGGGCCTGCCGCACGAGTTTGAAATTTCAAAAGGAATGAATTTGAGAGCGCACCGCAGGGTGATACATCGCCTGCTACAGTGTGCGTGCACCCCACACTTCGATGAAAAACTGGGAAATGTCCTGGCAGTCTGGCAAAAAGAAAAAAAAGGAAAAAAGCAATCAAACCCCGGTAACTCGGTTAAATAAAAACTCCACATTGAAAATTTGGTTCAACATCCATTCCAAATTCAAAAGTCTAGTTAAAAGTTAAAAGTTAAAAAGTTTAAAGTTAAAACTTAAAGTTGAAAAGTTTAAAGTTAAAAAGTTCAAAGTTCAAAGTTAAAAAGTTGAAAGTTAAAAATAATTCAAACCTGGTAGGAAACCATACCATACCTCGGAGGAATGTTTCAGAAGCGGTATCACACTGGAAATGATCAGAACCGATATGAAGATCGAACATGCCTGAATGAAAACACCACCACCACACCAGAAATTATTAAGAAACAGATGAACAAAAGGAGTTTAAAAGGACCAAAAAAAAAAACTGTCTCAACCAGGGTAAGGTCACAAAAATACTCCCTTGTCTACGACTTATCAGCAGTACAGATCACTCGGGAGTCGGGACAGCTCTCTTACGAAATCTTCCGACTGGATGAGAAGACAGAAGACCTGTAGACTTGATGACACAGAAGCTAGAAGCTATAGAAAGGAGGAGGAGAAGGACAAGGAGGACACGGAGGATAAGGAGGACGAGGACGAGGACAAGGACAAGGACGAGGACAAGGACGAGGACAAGGACGAGGACAAGGAAGGAGGATATGGTGGCTGTTTGCAGAGTGGTAGGTACTACTTTCACATGCTTCCAGTCTTCTTGTTCCCCACTGCAACATGCAACCCACCCCCTAGCACAATTTCAGAAATGAAATCCTCGCTCTTCAAACTCCAGGCATCTCCCAAGCGCAAGGTGATCAACATGCCCTATATATCTCTCCCCTGCCATGCCCCTTCGCCCCCCTCCTTCCATTCCCCTTGCCCTGGCCCTCCGCCCTCCTTCCTTCCGCCAGTGTTCTCCCCTTGTTTAAACTTCAAATGACTGAAAAAGGATGCGATTAGGCACCCCCCTCCCCCTCTGTCTGTCTGTCTTAGCCCCTCCGCCCTCTCACTCTCTCACACACACGCATGCCATCTACTTATACGATGCTGGGCACTTCGCTACTGCTTCGCTGCAGAGTTCACACACTATGAGACATCGCTTGAGACCCTGCATTCTCTTTTCACTGTTTTTCTCCCCAAAGGAGAACGACAATAGAAAACCAAGAAAAAAGAGAGGAAAAAACAACAACAGTTGTCTTCTAGTTGGAAAGAAAATGATCTCACCGGGTCCGTCAATAACCACCCTTTCTCGCGGATCAGAAGGGTAGATATGACAACACCAACGCTTCCAAGCGTATCGGCAAGGACATGGAGAAATATTCCTGCGACAACACAAAAGAGCACTTTACTGACATTGAAAGGCAAAAAAAAAAAAAAAAAAAACAAGTTGGCCAAGCACACAATCTGCTCGCATAAGAAAAAGTTATCTTCGTGGGGATGCAAATGCAACTGTGCTTTAATGTTTAAGGAAGGAAAAAAGGTGTTAATGGGGGAGACATATTTGAACATCAAACGTTTTGGTAAAGTCGTACCAATTTAATATGAAATCCAGTGGTCTCAAATTGAGTGCAGTGTCAAGTTTATATCGTGTGAGAGAAACACGAAATTGAATAATACTGAGGTGCCAGGTATTTCATAGCAGATGGGAACGAGGACTTTTAAAAAGAAGGGCGCAGCGGAGAGCGCAGACTAAATGTGGCATGTGGAGGGGAAGCAGCTGAGGATGTGTCATGCAGGGTGCGAAGTGCGTTTCCGCCTGGTGTTTGATGCTGGTTGCCAGTGCTTCGTTTGGCCAAAGCAAATCAGAGTTAGGAGCAATATTTATATTCACACCAAAAGGGATCGGACAAAGAGGATTAATGATTTAAGGTAGGGAGCAGTCCTTTCAAGGATGTATGGATGAAGAGGGGGAGGTTCTGGACAAATAGGGTTCCTACGGTCAAGAGCCCCCTCCTGCCCCACAAAAGTTGTCGTTTCGTTTTTTGGGGGCAGGTTACCTGGACCAATGTTGTTCGGGAGAAGAAGGCTGGAGAAAGCGGCTCTACAGCAAAAGAGGGCGGGGCAAGGGCGATCCAATTTCCATGTTGAATCGCCCTCCTTCCTGCCCGCTCCGCCTTGCTGCTGCCACTGGAATACGCTGCCATTCAAGTGCAGGCAGGATACATTGATATGTACTTAAGAAGTTTAGATTCAAATCTTTCAGTTCTTTGAATCATTCACCCCCCCGTGTTACACCTGTTAAAATATCTCTCCCTCCCTCTAATCTCTCTCTCCCCCCCCATCCGGATCGCCCTTCCTCCTAATCTCTCTCTCTCTCTCTCTCTCTCTCCCTGTTTCCCCATGTTGGAACCTTTCCACCCTGTCTCCCCCTGTTTGAATAATTCGACCCCTCCATTTTCCCGTATGCCAGTCTCTCCGCCCCCCAGTTTGTCCGAGAGTCCCACCTCTCTCCCCTCGTGCCTGTCTCTTATACACATCTAGATGTGTATAAGAGACAGCCCCTCCCCAATCCAAACCTCTCCCCCAACACTCCGACCTCTCTGGTTGCAGTGCGGACCTCTCGCCCTCTGAAAACAAAACAAATAGTTTTAACTAAAACAAACAAACTAAAGGAACATATATACATGGAAAAAAGAAGTGGTTAAAATCCGGATGTATCTGGACATGTCAGAACATATCTGAAGAGATCCGAACAGATCTTGAAGATCGGGACATGCCTGGATGGTCCAGCTTTGTCCAGACGACATCCACACGCCTGGTTGCCCAAGTTCATGGAAACCATGACGTGAAAATAATAGAAACATTTATGGATGATGCTGTCAAAAGAGGGCCGCTAGTCACTGAGGGCCTAGAACGTGAAAACTATAGGCAATCACTTATTCATCGCCTTGATTGCAACGTGGTCCTGCGCCCTTGTCACACTCACACAGAATCTTCATTCCAGATCAATTGCCAGAAGCAAACAGCCTGGGTATGGCGGGACCATGGGACCTTCTTCGCCAGGGAGCGTTCCACACAACGGAGAAGCATCCACCCACTTACCATGCATGTTGTGATCTGTGACATCGTGGCCAAGCCCGAATCCCTCATTGTGCGAGCTGTGCGAATGATCATCATGAACATGCTCATGGTAATGATGGCCATCAACCTTCATGATGACTTCTTGGTGATCACTGTCATTGTGCTGAATGTGCTCATCACCTCCATGTGCAAAGGGACTATGTGGATGACAGTCATCATCATGGTGATGCTCGTGGCTGTGATCTTGACAAGTGTCCAAATGATCGTGCTCATGGTTATAATGATGGTGGTCGTGATGGTCGTGATGAGGGTGGTGACGGTTGTGACGAGGGTGGTGACGGTCGTGATGGTGGTGGTGATGGTCACCCTTATGCATGTGATCGGAACCTTCAGGCAGCGGATTGTAAGGAGAGTGCCAGGGATCCTTGTTATCATCATGCGCACGTCCTGTCTCCTTCAGATGATCCTTGAAGACACCATTTGCCTCTCCATTCATGTTGTTTCCCTCCTCATGGATGGATTGATGGTCATGCTGGTGTTTGTGGCTATGGGCATGACTATGACTGTGCCCATGACTGTGAGAGCAGCCCCCATGGGCATGAGAATGCGCTTCGTGAAAGAAGATGAGCCCGACGACATTTACCAGGAGGCCTCCGATACACACCAGAAGTAGATTATCAGTTGAGATGTCTGGTGGATCAAGTATCCTGCACAACAAACGCACAAATTCGACTGCAACCGTTACAGTATGATCAAGAGGTAACCATACACGATCAGAACACAGTCAACGTAGACACAAAAAGCTCAGGCCCAATCTTGATTAACTGAAAATGGGAGAAGAACCGAAGTATAGGTAGCCGCAAAAAGCTGAGGTCATACTACAAACACAATATTAGGTCGATCCAAGACCTGAGGTTGACCTTAATTATCTGAAAATTGATGAAGTACTGCAGTACCAAAGTATAGGTTACATACACCGATATGCAATGTACGTAATAAACCGAGGATCTGCAATGTGATGAAAAGGACTGAATAGACAATGTGGTTACGAGAATCTCGACCAGCAATGTACATTCTCATTCATACATGAAGATGCTGAAGAGCGCAGGGAAGACTTGATACAAAGACTGACCTGACAGGACTGACCTCATCCACGTAGTTCGGAGTAACGAAGCAGAATGCCAAAGTGCTACTAACTAGCCCAATCAATGTTGAACTCAGACTAAACATGCATTGTATCCATCACAGAGTGTGAAGGCTGTCTCTTATACACATCTAGATGTGTATAAGAGACAGGTGTGTGTGTGTGTGTGCGTGATTATTGGCGTGTGGTCCATTGTTTCCCTTTTGAG